CACACATTATTCTTGGTGTAAGTGATCCATAGGGGGTGAGAGGAAGGGGGATGCTAGCAAAGAACTTACCTGTATTGACACAGATAGTAGATAATAATAACAAATTATTCACTATGCTATATGATGATAGGTACCTTGGAGGGGAATGAGCTAGAGTTGGGAGCTAAGCAGGGAATAAGAGGGTGCACTATTAAATAGAATAGTAAGGGAGACTTCATGCCAAAATGAAACTTCAGGCAATACTTGAATAAAGATCAATTAAGCCATGTGGCATTTTTGAGCATATGATTCAAGCACAGGTATTGGCCAGTGTCATGTGCCAAGCAAAGCCAGGTATGTATGCCCATGCAACTACATGAGTAAAGCAGAGTGTTCAGTCAGAGAGGAACATAAGCTAAATATCTGTGAAGGTCCCTTAAGGTCCTATGAGAATTTTGAATTCTAAGTAAAATGAGGAGTGCTTCCAGGGTTTTGATCAAATATGGACATTACCTGATTCATACTTTGAAAGGGTCATGTTGGCTGGAGAGTTGACAAAAGACTGGAAAAGAAGAAGCATAGGATAAAGATCAGTTAGATGACCCTTGCAGAAATTCAGGTAGAGGATGGTGGCTCTTCTCAGGCTAAGGGCAGGCATAGTGATGAAAAGGGGTCAGATTCATGATGTTTTGAAAGTAGACTTAATCAGATTTCCTATGGGACTGGTTCTGTGGTATGAGAAAAAGAATGAGTCAAGAATGAGCCTGAGATTTTTAGTCTCAGCAACTGGAAGGATGGAGTTGATATCAACTGAGAAAGGGAAAGCTATGGTCAGAGCAGAGTGAAAAGAAAGCTCACAGTGATACCACCAAATGCTGGCAAGGATGTAGAGCAACAGGAACTCTCACTCATTGCTGGTGGGGATGCAAAATTGCACAGTCACTTTGGAAGAAACTCTGGCAGTTTCCTACAAAACTAACACAGGCTTACCAGGCAATCCAGCAATTGAACTCCTTGGTATTTACCCAAAGGCGTTGAAAACATATCCACACAAAAACCAGTGCATGGATGTTTACAGGCAACTTTATTCCCAATCACCAAAACTTGGAAGCAACCAAGATGTCCTTCAGTGAGTGAGTGGATAAATAAACTGTGGTACATCCAGACAATGGAATATCATTCAACACTTAGAGCACTGTCAAGTCATGAAAAGACAAGAAACTTAGAGGCATATTACTAAGTCAAAGAGGCCATTTTGTAAAGGTTACATACTGCATAACATTCTAGAAAAGACAAAGCTATGGAGACAATAGAAATATCTGTAGTTGCCAGAGGTTAGGCAGGAGGGAGGGACAATTAGTGGAGAATTTTTAGAGCAGAAACTGAAATTTTAGGCAGTGAAACTAATTTGTATGAACTATTATAGTGGACACATGTCATTATAATTTACCTAAACCCATAAAATGCACACCAAGAATGAACCTTTATGTAAACCATGGTCTTTGGGTGGTAACAAGTCGTTGTAGGTTCATCAATTATAATAAATGTACCACTGTAGAGGGGGATGCTGATAAAGAAGGAGACTATACATATGTGAGGGCATGGGATATACAGGAGATCTCTGTACCTTGTTGTCAATTTTGCTGTGAGCCTAAAACTTCTCTAAAAAAACCCCAAGATTTAGTTTTAAAAAGCTTTTTAAAGAAAGCTCAGGACAAGTTTAAAGGTGTTGAGTCTGTGATGTCTACTAGATGTCCAGGAACAGGCTGCAAGTAGATCATTAGATAGAGGATCCCAGGATTTTTACATGGAGATACACACTAAAGTTTTGAGCTTATAATATTTACAACCATGCCACTGCATAAGATGACCAACAGAACATAGACGGACTGTGAAGAAATAACCGATTGGGCTTTTATTCATTATAGTACGAAGAAAATGCTTTTTTTTTTTTTTTTTTAAGCCAGCATATTCAGTTAAGAATACAAAACAACAGCAACAACAACAAAAACCCCATGGTACAAAAGCTGCTGAAATGTTAAAGAAAATTTTAGACGTCATTATTGTGTTTTTAAGTTCATTAATGGTGATGGAGTTGTGAAGACAGAAACTCATACAAATGAGTAGAGAACTACATAGGAATTGAAGTAACAGAAACAAAAGGAGAGAAAATGCTTGTAAAAGTTTAGCAATAAAGGATGAGGGAGAGCAATGGTAGAAAAGAAAATGTACTAGCTCAGAGTGAAGGGTAGTTATTTTATGAAGTATACAAACTGTATTGATGTTTTTTGTCAAGGAGATTAAGAGACTGAAGATCAGTGAATGGTAATTAGTCAAGAGATTTGATATATCAAGAACAAAACCTCTCAGAAGCTAAGACATGGGAAAGTCATAGGTGGCATGGAGGGATTGATGCTAAATTGAGGGGAGGCATCATTTCCATTTCAACACAGGTAGCCCACAAGAGATTTTAGATTTAGGAGGCAGGGATGTTGTCAAACAGTATCAAATAATGATCTTCTGTTCTCTGTATAAATGTGGCAGAATATTAACAGAGACAAAAGTAATACTGGAGGAATTTCGTAAAGTAAAAAACAGATTTGGCATTCTTGAGATTTTAGTGAATATATTGAACTAGGAACATCAAGATGGACAGGCAAGTAACAGAAGAGCAAAAGGGGCTGCAGGAGTAGAGGACAGCTGGAAGATTGAGGTAAGGTCCTTGACTAGGATTTGGGAAGCTTTTAAGTGACAGATCAGTAATGACAGCTCTTTAAGTATATGGACTGACCTCTTTATAGCTAATTATTAGGACAATTCAGGATAGAAGAGAGGTCCTAGATTTTCTGGATTCTCCAACTAAACGATGTGAGGTTTGACGGTGGTGGCAATAAGGCCAATTAGTAATCAAAATATGGAGTCTTCTTTAGCCAATGGCAACAATGAAATGTTAGAGCAGTAATTGTTGAGCGCAGGGATGTACATGGCTCTAGAAAACGTGTTTGTGACCCCAGACGGTGGATCTGACTTTCCCCTCTATCTGCGACCAGCTTATGCTCCATGATATAAATGGCAGCCATGTGCCACTGGGCCAAGGGTTATTGGGGTAGGGTGCAAGTACACTTCCCCAATTTTTTGGATCTAGTGGTTTTGCTGTAAGGAAAGTTCCCATTAGAATCATTAATAGGAATTATGTATTCTGCTACAAATAGCCTATAACACATCATACCACTGAGTCCATATATGAATTGAAGTGTGGTTAGTGTACAAAGCAAAAATAAGATTTCAAGAAGCTCTTAGCATCTGGATGTCAGATCAAAGATTGCAGATTGGGGTATAAACAACAAAACACCTTAGAATTGTATCTCAAAAAAAAAAAAGAATTGTATCTCAGCTTTGCAAGTGAGGCTCTTTTTTGAGATGATGACTGAGCAAATGGAATATGGAGAATGCTGCAGAGGTTCTCTGGGCTGATAAAAATCTAAGTGGACATTGTGCAATGAGAAAGTCACCATCAATGGTGTCAATAAGATTTCCATTACTAATGAGACCTTTTATTTTTTTTTCAAAGATTTATCTGAGAGGGAGGGAGGGGGGAGAGAGCGAGAGAGCACACAAGCGTGGGGGAGGGGCGGAGAGAGGGAGAAGCAGACTCCCTGCTGAACAGGGAGCCAGATGCAGGGCTCGATCCCAGGACCCCGGGATCATGACCCAAGCCTAAGGCAGACGCTTAACAGACTGAGCCTCTCAGGCAACTACCCTGCCCCCATGAGGCCTTTTAAAACTGGTCTTAAGCGGTGCCTGGGTGGCTCAGTTGAAGCATCCAACTCTTCCATTTCAGCTCAGGTCATGATCTCAAGGTCATGAAACTGGGCCCCATGTCAGTCTGTGCGCTCACTGGGGAGTCGGCTTGGGATTCTCTCTCCCTCTGCCCTTCACCCCAATCATGCACATGTGTGTACATCCTCTCTCTCAAATAAATAAATCTTGAAAACAACAACAAGAACAAAAAACAACCCTGCGGTGCCTGGGTGGCTCAGTCTTTAAGCGTCTGCCTTCGGCTCAGGTCATGATCCCAGGGTCTTGGGATCGAGCCCTGCATCGGGCTCCCTGCTCTCGGGAAGCCTGCTTCTCCCTCTGCCTGCTGCTCCCCCTGCTTGAGTTCCCTCTCTTGCTGTGTCTCTCTGTCAAATAAATAAATAAATAGTGAGAGAGTCTCTGATATTATACTGTCCCCTTGAGGTCCTCAAGAAAGCTGTCTACCTCTCCACAATGGCAAAGCCCAACTGTTTTCAACCCACTCCACACAATGAATAAAAATCTTAAGATTAAATGTGACTTAATAAGACCTTTATTATTGCACAAATCAGAGCAAATGTGAGGCAGACAGGTCCCACATCAGTGACTTGGGAGGCTGGAAAATCCATAAAAAATATTGCATAAGACCAACAAGGCCATGAAGAGGTAAAACTTGCAAAATATCAGTGGTTCCTAGACTGAGTTCTTTGGGCAAAAAGTGGATCAGGTCCATGCCATAGTCAGAGAGAAGGGAATGGGAATCTCCCACCCCAGGGGTTCAGACTGATTTCCAGCAGAGAACGGGAGAGAGCACAAACATCTGTCTTCTCTGAGCATGCTAAGGTGACATGCATGCCATGAGGAGGACCTGCTAGGTGTCAGAGGGAGATAACTTCTGCCACAATTGGCAGTGACACAATTCTGGCAAGGTCTGAGCAGGTCAAAATATGAAATGCAGCTCCTGAAAACTCCTGATTGGAATGCATGGTAGATGGCTCCTCACAGAGGCTCTCTAGTGCCGTCACACTGAACAAAGAGACAGCAAATTCCCTGAAGATTTAAGGCCATTATCTTACGTGGAATTTCTTTTTCAGGCTGAATGGGTTTAGATCTCAGCTGAAGGTTTTTCCACATCTCCTGATTCATAAGACTGATGTGAGTCATGAAGTTTTTGGTGTTGAATCAAAGACTGTTAAATGAAAACTTTCTCAGGCTGGCTGCACTCCTGAGGCCTTTTTCTAGTGTGAAGTTTATGGTGTTGAATGAGGCTATAGTTTTGGCTAAAGGATTTCCCACATTCACTGCATTTATAAGGCCTTTCTCCAGTGTGAATTCTCCGATGTAGAATGAGGCTAAAACTTTGGCTAAAGGATTTTCCACATTCACTACACTCGTAAGGCCTTGCTCCCGTGTGAACTCTCCGGTGCTGAATGAGGCTGGAGCTTTGTCTAAAGAATTTCCCACATTCACTGCACTCATATGGCCTTTCTCCAGTGTGAACTCTCCGGTGCTGAATGAGGATAGAGCTTTGGCTAAAAGACTTCCCACATTCGTCACATTCATAAGGCCTTGCTCCAGTGTGAATTCTCCGATGTTGAACAAGGCTGGAACTTTGTCTAAAGAATTTGCCACATTCAGCACATTCATAAGGCCTTGCTCCGGTGTGAATTCTCTGGTGCCGAACAAGTTTGGATTTGCATCCAAAAGCTTTCCCACATTCACTACACACATAAGGCCTTTCTCCAGTGTGAGTACGTTGGTGCTGAACAAGTTTATATTTGAACCTGAAGGCCTTTCCACATTCACTGCACTCAAAAGGCTTTTCTCCAGTGTGGACTGTCTTATGCTGAACAAATGTATGCTTGTAGCTGAAGGTTTTCCCACATTCAATGCACTCAAACAGTCCTTCTCCAGTGTGAATTCTTTGGTGCTGAACAAGTGTACGTTTGTGACAGAAGGCTTTTCCACATTCACCGCATTTGTAAGAACTTTTTCTACTGTGAAAGGAACCCTCACACTTAGTACTGTTGTGTATACTCAGTACTGCTTTGGGAGTGGCCTGATGCTGGAGAAGTCCCAAACTGGCCAAGAAGTCCTTTTCAACCTCACAGGTGAAAGGCTTCCCTAATGAATGACTTCTATAGGTCTTCACAAAGGAAGCCCTGTCCATGTCCTTGGTATTGGGCTTTCTCCCACTGTGCTCATTCTGGTGTTGGTGAAGATCTGCACTGAAACAGAAGTGTTTCCCACATGCCACACATGTGTATGACTTCTCCCCAGTATGTGTTTCTTGATGCTCAGCCAGGTACAAAATATCTTTCATGACAGAAACACACATCTCACAGAAATGAACCTTCTCAGTGGATGGATTTGGCTCTGAAGACCTGATTTGTGGCATTCTTCCCAGAGAAACATTCTGTCCAGAAGGCACCTCCTCATGCTCTATGCCACACAAACAATCTGAAAACAGAGAAACGCTAGTAAAGTACGTTGTCTCTGGGGACAGGTGGCAGCCACATTATAAATATGTGCCTGACATACCAAAGAATGAATACATGAGACTGTTCTCAGGATGAAGGAGTTGGGAGGCAAGATGAGGAAGGGGCTGTTTTGCAGTACTGGGATTCTAAAAGGCTCCTCTAGGAAGTAGGGAGGCCTCACAAGATGAAAGAAGTTAAGAATGTGACGCAGCGGGCCCCTGGGTGGCTCAGTAGTTAAGTGTCTGCCTTCGGCTCAGGTCATGATCCCAGGGTCCTGGGATCAAGTTCCACATCGGGCTTCCTGCTCCAGGGAAAGCCTGCTTCTCCCTCTCCCACTCCCCCTGCTTGTGTTCCTGCTCTCACTGTCTCTGTCAAATAAATAAATAAAATCTTAAAAAAAAAAAAAAGAACGTGACGCAGCACAGTTAAGGAGAAGCAGGCAGTTTCCAACCTACTCCTCTCAGAATGACCTCCAGGAGGGGTGTTGCTCACATGTGAGTATTATGAAGACGTTTTTGTCCAGGAAGAGAAAAATGATTGCTAGTGAGTAGCTAGTGTTCAAGGACTATTGAGGATAGTGCTCACCAGCTGTTAAGCATGAGCCAATGCTGGGAACACTGCAATGGCAGCAGTGGAAAGGAATGGGCAACTGATAGATGTGGGAAAGTTGCCAGCAGCCAGGGACTAGAGGTCACAGTAAAAATGACAAACTAGTCAAGTATCAAGAATAGGGAAGAAAAGGCGAAAATGAGGTGTGGCCACTGGAAATGGCACAAAACACTAGTTTGAAGAAGTTCCTGGTATTAGGTGAACACAGCCCTGATGTCATGTCCTGTTTCAGCTGCCAATCAGCAGGGCCAGGCCTCCTCTGGCTCCTCCTGCCATGGCAGGAGTGATATCATTCTGTGAAGTGCCCAGAAGTCTCCCCCACAACCCAAACTGAGCAACTACATGGGACGTAGATAATGTAAGTCCTAAGAGAAAGACAGAACATGTAAGTGGCCACTATCAGCCCACATGACAGATCACAGAAAACTAAACATTACAAAAAAAACCTCACACAAAGGTCTCCAAAAACAACCCATAGTGCACATAGTAGTGTCCATGTCAGTGATGGCAATTCCTGGCATATGCAGACATGTAGAACTATCAGAAGAAGGGCGCAAAACCTGAAGTAAGTAGGTACCATGGAACTGCAGAAATCACCCAGCCAGGGAGGGAGCAACCAAGGTGGGATCCATCTGACTGACTGCAAAGACTTAGAAGGATTACCTAGAACCCTTTGCTACTAGACTTCAGGGCAGCAGGTGTTGAGGTAGTAGGGAGAGAAAAGGGCAGGGCGAACAATCCAGTCCTAGCAACAACAGCACCTACCCAGGGAACTAGGAAAGGATGTAATGCCCATGGTCTGGATGGAAGCACAGAGCAGCCCACAGGGAAAAGCAGAAAGGCAAAGTTGCTACCCAGGTCATGGTGGCAGGTGCGATGGACTTACCCAGAGAAGTTATCAGTGCCAAGTTCTCCAGCATCACATCATGGTACAGGCGTCTCTGAGCTTCATCAAGGAGACCCCATTCCTCCCAGGAGAAGTACACAGCCACATCCTCCAAAGTCACATTGTCCTGTCATGTTGGGGACAGATGAAACCACAGCCTCCCTCCTGAGGACCCACAATCCACTCTCACACATCTACCCCATGCCCATCCCCTTCCCAAGCTCCCCACCTGAGAGGAGAAACCAGGACCTGATGCCATTGGTACTGCTCTTTCCTCATGGTTCTATTAGTCAGCATGCCCAGCTCTCAGCAACTGCAGGCAGGTAGGCAGAGAGACACCATCTACATTCAGGAACTGAATTACAGGGCTGCATCTCTTCCTGCCAGGCAATTTCCCTGGAGTCCTCCATATCATGCCTCACAATAAAATTTGGGGTCACCTATCATCCTTAAGTCTCCAATACCAGGGCCCAGGACCATCCATTCACACTCCCTCTCTCCACATGCACCTCTCACATCCTCACACCCCATAGATGCATCCCCACAGCCACTGCCAACTCCCTGCCCCACACCATATGCATCTCCCTGGACTTGCTCCACGCTACTTGGCACATGGCATGCAGAAAGAACTTGGCAAATTCAAATAGGATGCAGTACTACTCCAGACCTCCGATGGATCTCAACACCAGGGATAGCCCTGGATGCTGCTTCAAAGGCCTTCTCTGCCTGTCTCTAATTCTTGCTTCAACATTAATCACATGGAACTATATGTGAATTTCAGATACACACAACCCTCTCCCACTTCTGTGTGCACTTGCTGTCCCCCAGCAGCCACAACCCTCTTTCCACCTGACCCTCATTCAAAGCTCAGCCATACTGGTACCCATACCAGGCACAGTGATTCTCACAGATGACCACATTTGCCCCAGACCTTACACACCAGCAAATACCCCAGAACCCACCAAAGCTCACCACAAAATTATAGTAAACCCACCTTATCTCAAGTAGTTCTCTTTATCTATCTCACGTCCACTCTTCTCTTGGAAGTCTTGGCCACCTGCCAAGACCAGCCTCCCCACATACTCCCTTTGTGGGTATTTCTCTCCTACATCTGTACTTATGATACCCATAACCCCCAAACAGGTACCCGAGCAATAGATCCAGCCCTTGGAACTCTTATTCTTCTTTCTGACCCACTAATAACATTACTGCCATGAGCTGAATTCTAATTTCTAAATATGATCCACAGCTCCACCCTGGTGCACATACTAGTCACCACTTTCGGATGCCTCCATCCTAAACCCCACTCCAGATTTCCAGACCTGTGTCCAGTGCCCATTTGATGCCACGACTCACTTGGTCTCTGAAGTATCTCAGAATCTTAACATGGCCAAAAACAAAGCTCCTGATACCCCCAGTGGGGGATCACTCCTACTGCTGATTTTCCCATCTCAGTTGATCTAACTTCCACACTTCCTGCTGCTAAGACCAAACTTGAGTGTCATCTCCGACTCCTTCCTTTCTCTCTCTCATCCTCAAAATCAGCCCTTCTTGAAAAACGGATCCAGAATCCAACCACTTCTCCCACCTCCACAGCCAGCACTCTGGTCCATGAACACTCGCCTAGACTATCGCGGTAGCCTCTTCCCTGGTCACCCTTCCTCCTCCCTCAGTCCCAAAGTCTGTTTTCCACTCTACAACCAGATGGAGATATTTAAACCTGGGTAAGATCATCTCCCTCCTCTGTTCCAAATCTCCATTACGTCCATTATAGTCGCCCAACTTCTCAGGCAGCCATTTCCAAAACTAACTCCAGTCCCCCTGCTCTTTGTTCCTAAGAGTTCCTACATGCTGCGCCCTGTTCCCGGGATAAGCGTCTACACTTCTTTCCATTGGTGGCCAGGAGTAAGAACTCCATATAATCCCTGAGTCCATATAACCTGGAATCAGGATCACCCCCTGCCCTTGGGATCTCTCCCAGATCCCCAAACCAAAAGGGCTGGCAGAAGAGCAGGTGAAGAGTCCCAGGACACCACAATCCCAAAGCGGACATGGGTGGGATCCAAACCCGTGAGGGGAGGGACACCCTCCACTTCACCGTGTAAGTTCCGTAAGTGCTGCTTCAGCCTCAGAGAACTACGAACAGCAGCAAGACAGAGAGGCTGGGGACCATGAGTATTTCAACAGGCTCAACCTCCCCTGCACCTCTACCCAACCCTGGCGGCAGCCCTTGGGCGGAAAGGCTAAATCAACTCTGTACTTCAGTTCTCAGGACTCCCTTTTCCCAGTTCTGTGTCTTGGACTCAACCTCCCAGTGCCTCACCGTCCTCATCACTCCCGGTCCAGCCTCTTCTCCCTCTGAGCAGCCCTTGGAAACCTTTACGGCCCTAAATCAGACCGTGTCCCTCTTCTCGTCACAACCATCGACGGCTCCCAGGGCCCTCGGGACAGAGGTACGGCACCTCGGCCCGCCAGTCCCGGCGCGACCCCGCCTCACGCGCTGTCCCCTGCGGGCAGCCTCCTCCCGCCTCACG